AGTATCCTTTAGTTCCACTTCTTGAACGATCTCTCCCACAATCTTCTTTCCCCACTCCTAGAAGAGCCTCCCTTAGATTGGCGTGGGACCACCCCACCCCCCAAGGAAAGCCCCCCTTAGATTGGCGTGGGGCCTAGCTCTGGTACCAATTGCTAGTAGCCCAGACCCAGCTCCTGGTCCATCGACATACGTTCGGACGTTTCCAGTACGCATCAGACACTTCACTACAAGTGGAGAGCCCACCACATCCCAAAGACCAGCCTAAAAAAAGTGTGGCACTCTCCCTTATAAGGTCCTAGCCTCCTCCCGTGTCCGAGGTGGGACTAAAGTCACTGGCACTGCCCAAGGTCAGGTTCCTGACAAAATACCTTGTGAGCTTCTTTCTATTATAAACCACACTGTAGGGGCTTCCTCTACGATATTTCAATCAAAGGACACGAACAACTGCTATGTAGATATAAATTTCTTGTGCTTGTAAGTTCATGTTTTGTACGATTTTGTTCCACCTCAACAAGACATATTAAAATGTGTGAATGTATGTACGAATATGATACTGTACTTGTGAATATCAAGCAAAATGATTTTCAGGTTTAATTACGGTAGTAGGCGCGCTTTGCATGTGCACCTTACCTAGTGTAGTGCTATAATTTGCACAAATGATATAGCGAATCATTGTTTGCTGAAAGCCTCAATTACTGTGCTTGAGGGCCCTATCAAGATCATATAGGGTGTCTAATAGGTAACAATCTTTGAGCAATGGGAGGATGGTGCTACTGTTTATAGTGCTGCTGCCACAATCCCATTTTCGCCCTCAACATCAAGTCTATACCAAAGTTTCACAGAATAAATGGCACAAAAACCGTGCTCAGCTGTGCAACACCCACTAGCACTAGTACGCTAGATCCTGTAGCCACAAGGTCAAAACTAATGGGCCTACTCAAGTCAGGTTTCCGTGGGCACTTGTTCTCCCCCCCACCAAGCGATTTTGTTACGATTTTGATATTTGTTGGTAAATAAGAATGAAGATTAGATATGGTATATGTTTGATCAATCACACCTAACAATATTTTTGACGGAACCTCGTCAGAGGGTGGGGAGCTCCCGGATTGCATTATAGAGTTGATCCAGTTAATGAGGAAAACCGGATCCAAAAACCAAACAAGAACGGTTAACTAAGGTAACCCTAAAAATATTTATTTAAGCTTTGTTTCAAAGTATTAAGATGATTTGTAAATTGTAATGGTAATGAACCGGTGAAAATTGTGCAAAGCAATTTGGAAACATCTCCATCCATCCATCAACATATTGATGTTGTTGCTTGCGATATATGAATTATGATGAGTGCGAGCCCAGAAAGGCGGTACAGTTCATGTCGTCGTACAACTGATAGCTGAGTTTATAAAAGAAGGGTTGTAGAGTTTTTGTGCCAAACTTTATGGCTAAAGTGCTGGTTAGTCTTGCAGTATATGCCACACTATGCACCCAGGAACTTTCTTCAGTCCAAGTGTTCATATATTTTTTGTGAACGTGCAAAAGCTCTTTGTATCATTCCATTGAAAGAACTCATTTTACAACTGTTCATCGGACTAATGTTTTCTGAATGGGAGCTTACTCGAAAAATCATCGGATTAGGATATCTCGGAATCTTCTTGAGACAAAGATTTACAAAGGGAAAAAAAAGCTTAGGCCACTATTTCGGCATATTCGCTGCACACTTTAGCTTTCCAATCTAGGCGAAACAGGTCGAGATCAAGCGAATGGAACCTCACAAGAAAAAGAGAAGAAAAAAAAAGTCTGAAACCACTATTGCAGCATATACTTATGTCTCCTTTAAGCTTGATTTGAACCATAGGAAGGGAGGATCATGACCTTTTTCTTGTCACAAGACAGGCCTGTGACAGATATATATAGAGATAGATGAACCATTGCAGCAAAGGGATTGGATAAGCTCTACTTCCATTCCAAGACACAAAGTGGAGTGGGGGATGGGAGATGACACCTAGAAAGGAACTTGAAGAGGATATGCCCCAATGTGAATGCTGGGAACAGTTCCTCCATTACAATCCCAGGGAAGTGCTTTGCTTGTGACCTGCAAGCAATGGCACCCACCAATGGTGCCATGGCATGGCTTTGCCTTTGGTGTAAAGTGCCTTTGTGCATGCATCATTGCCCCCAACCTCCCTGCCTTTGTTTCTTTAGGTGCTTGTTGGCAACTTTGGACTGGTGGAGGTTATGTAGATGAACATGGTTCGATTAATTAAAGTCTCGGAGATTAATTAGCTTTCAGTGTGAGACCTACAAAGATCATGGTTAGATGGGGATTTCCTCCGGTTCTGTTAGTGCTTAGGATGAACATATGCTTATAAATTTGTCGGCTTAGCATCATGGTAGCATAAACTCAATTGTTTATCCGCAGTGAAGGCCTGGAATTTCATGCATGTCTATGATATCCTTTGGTCTGCATTGGTGTTGCTATCTGAAAGGGACTTGCCTATGTGAAACTAAGCAAAAGCAGGCTGCTAATCTACACAACCACAACCACAACCACAACCACAAAATGCTACAAGCAAAAGAGAACACAGATCAAAAGCCAGAACCACCAGAGTAATCACCAAAGTTCACCACCATTAAGTGCCTCGGATTAAAACTAGAACTACTGAACCGAAGGCGGAAGAAAATTATCGCACACAAGGATTAGATCAACTGAAAGCATCCTTCGGTGCTAACGCCACTCGCACCATTTCTATATATTGCGTTTGCCTTGGAAAGTGGATGCCTAGGGAAGAAGAAAGGCGCTACGGTGAATCCAGTCGTGCCCGAGTTGATGTTTCTTTAACACAAAAACGATGCGCAACCCTTTGCGCAATTCCGTCTAATATAATCGCCAAGTTGACTCGGGTGAACGTGAGAGGACATATACTGGTTGGTTTCCAATTTTGTTGTGTACTACAGGTAGATCGGCGGTCTCCGTGGGATTGATGGCCATATCAAAAGGAAATGGGGGTATAATTATCCATGGAAAGTGAGATGAGGCTAATGATTATTCCCCATGCCCACTGAGAGTAAACTGAAGGTTTATTCCTTGTCCCAGGAGTTAGTGCCACACTACGTCTGGCTGCTGCGCCTTCAGGATCAAAACGGATCTACTCTCTACTGTGGAATGATGCTCAACTTTGTTGAGTGAATGGATAACTCCTGGTGGAGTAACCATGATCAGATTACTGGTAAAAAAATGCCTTTGGTAAGTATAAAGGATAAGCTCTAGCAATGCATCAACTTTGGTGAGTGAATGAATGGATAACTCGCCCGCTTTCGGTTACTAGAAAACGCCTTTGGTAAGTATAAGGATAAGCACTAACAGTGCATTGTTTGTGAAAGACCAGATTGTCAAAATGATGCATGACTACAAACACAACATTTCAGTTACATCTGCAGAAGCCCAGACGGCGCGAGATCTCGGACCAGGTGGAAACTAAACATTTCAGTTTCATTATTTATGCATTGAAGAGCAGACAGTGGACATGGCAGGGATGTGTATCAGAACACATTCAACAGCATATGGTGAAGGAAACAAAAAAAAATTGGAAAATCAGTGTAGCTCTATAAACTACAGGAGCTGATCCACACCAGGGTATCCAGATTCTAAACTTATCAAGACACTGGAGCTGATTACATGAGAGGCATAGCTCGAGAGGCTTGTGCGTTAAGATGACGATACAGAGACAGGGCCTTCAGCTTCGACTCAATCTTTGAATTAGTTAATGAGAACAAAAGCAACAGACACGTATCGAGAATTGATCGAGGAATGTCCAACACCAGCATCAAGGATCGCTTGGTATTGTCGACATGAACACAAAACAGCAACCTTCCTTGATTCATCTTCTTAATTTAAGCAGCAACAGCGGCACTCTCTGGCTTATCTGTTCCTTCTTGTTGAATGAAGGACTTGTCTATTCCTTCGATGTTGGTTATCCTCAGCTTTGTCAATTCCTGGAATTGTCACAGCAGACAGTAAGAAGAACATATCGAGAGGATAATGTCCATAATGTCATGTATTGACTGAGAACTGAAACGGTATGAAATACCTGACGGTGTCCCCTTGTTCGGCGGTAATTTTTCCTCCTTTTCTTCTTGAATATAATAACTTTTGCATCTAGAGCCTAAGAAAGATTGTCAAGAGAAATGACCTCAGAATTGTGCAGTAATATATTTACAATAAGACCCTAGTAATACCAAAACCGGGCTCTGGTTGAGTAATTATAGAAAGTATATGTACCAACTGCAAGACTGCAACAGTAAAGGTTGGGGCATAGACACTCGTCCTTCTTATCAGTGTTGCTATACATGTTTTAGCACATAATGCCAGTAAAATGAAAAGGTAGCAGAGGTAGGAGGGCGAACCACTAGATATTTTCCATTAACTTGTAATAAGCATGTCATTTCTGTTATAATAGTTTGGGGGGTCAATGCAATCCAATGTGGTGCCCAATGAATTAGTTCAGGTCCTAAAAGAGGGACCAAAAAGGGTCCATATTGGTATATAGGTTGAACAGACATCCAATTGGACTTTGCAACACTAGCATGTTAATATCAGCAGTTAATGGTGACGTAACCAAGGGGGTGTAATGGGATACATAAAAGAATTTAGATTTTTTAGTGTAAACAATCCTGTTATTGGGCACATTGCCAGTCTTAATGATTGTAGCAGAATAGACTAGTACATCAGCTTTCAAATGCAGTGATCAGATCAGTAAATAGGCAGAGAATAAGAAGACTGCCATGCAATATGTTAAGACAAGGATATTCAGATAAAGCTGAAATCTGTGTACATATTGCCTAGTGCCTAGTTTGTAGAATGCAGTCGTAACATTTAATCAGACACACTTACGAACTTGCTCCAAGAAACAGAGTTCATAAACCATTCCATGGACTTCATTTCCATTCTAATGAACATGACAGAAAAAAAGATAGATCAAAGAAGTGTCATCCTTACATGCTCTTCGACGACAGCATGAACAGTAGCATCAGTAAGAGTTGGCCTCCCAATTATTGTTTGAGCTTGTGAGCCAAGCATAAGAACTCGATTTAAAACTAACTGCACCAAGTGATTCAAATAACAACAGCATCAGAAAAATTCAAAAATTACCTATGGAATGAGAAGCACAAGCAAGCAGAGAACTATGTTTGCTACTGGAATCATTACAAGAATTGTATCAACTAGTCACTGGTTCACTGCAGTTGTTCCATCATCTTGGTTTGAAAAATGGTGGGTTTAACAAAAGTATGGTAACGGTGAGGAGTTGTGCTCATGACACTAATGCAACTAAAATAAGAAGGCCCCTCATGATAGTCCTACTCAACCTGTCAACCACAACAATTCATGTTTTCAACAAGTCCATACTCCATACACTTCAGCAAGCTTAAAATTCAATTGTTGGTACATTATACAGCAACCCCTTAAGCAGCTTCCATGACGAAAGATGAATATAAAAGTTTTCATACTTGATTGAACGACTAATTTGAACCAATACTCTTAAGTTTCCAGTTCCCAACATACATAGGTCAAAAGCAAGCGGACCAAAGTGCTATGGGATATCCCGAGATAACAATGGGCACACAATACCAAGACTAAATTCTCTTATCAGCTCAGAATTTGAGGTTTGACCATAGTGATATAACCCATCAGCAAATGAACAGAAGATAAGCCTGCATACTACAACTTGAGAGCTTGTAAACATAGCGGCTACCCTATTCGTCTTTGTCATAGGTTGCAGCTTGAATTGAGGAAACAACATTCAATCGAAATAGCTCGTTCCGCCCATGTGTCACATTACCTTGTCATTCACATCGCAGAACTTGAGCCTCTCCGTGAAGATGGAGTCGCCGTTGCTCACCTTGAACTGATGCGAACCAATCTGCATGAACAAGCAACGCGCACCCAGATCACCAACCAGATCCACGCCCAGAGCCGAACCGAAGCGCAAAACGGAAGAAGATTCGGGCCGGAGGGGGGCAGACCTGGACGACGGCGAAGATGGGCTCGTAGGGCTTGAAGGGCTTCTCGTCGGCGCCGAGCGGCCCAACCACCTTGTACCCGATCTCGTTCGCCTCCGCCAGCTTCTCCTCCTCCGTCTTCCCGCTGGGCGGCTTCGCGGCGGGCGTCTCCTCGTCGCCCTCCCCCCACTCGTCCCCGCTCCCGTCCTCCTCGTCCTCGTAGTGCTCCTCGTCGTCCCCCTCGTCGTCGGACGAGCGGGTCGCGAAGTGGCAGCGCGGGGGGGAGAGCCGGAGCGAGGCGGCGGCGGCGGCGCGGGGGGCGAGGGGCCGGGGCAGGGAGGTCAGGGTCCGGGCCGCGATCGAGGCCGGGGCGAGGGGCTGCGGGGCGTGCGGGGCGAGGCCGCGCGTGAGGAGGCGGAGGAGGCATCGCCGCGTCGCCATGGCTACGGCGGCGGCGGCGGCGGAGGGAGGAGGCGAGGAGGGGAGGGGAGGGTAGAAATGGAAATGTTTATTTTGCCAAGCGGTTTTGACGAGGGTTTAAGGGAAGGGAGCGACACTGCCGGTGGGGCCTGCTCACTGTGGCCGCGGGGAAAACGGTTACATGAGGTTCTGCGTAATCCAGAGGCGAAGACGTACTGTTGGGGGAGATAGGGATACGCTTTGCAACGAACGATTTTGCTTCCCTCAAAAAAAAAAAACGAACGATTTTGCTATAGGGCCGATTTGTCGTTCGGTTTTGAATTGAAATTCCTGGCATAAGTTGAAAATGGAGAGAAATATGTAGCCCGGAACAAAAATTTACATGTTATGTGTGTATTCTCAGTTCTCTGTGGCTACCTCTCGGCTAAAGGAGAGTCGGCGAGGAAGGGGCTAATTTTTTCAAATAATACATTTTTTTAATAATTTGCATAAATATTACGTCGATATTTTTATTTTTAAAAATAATACACCATCAGCCCGCTGCAGGCTGACTGAGCCTAGTTGGCCCACCGCAGGCCGATTGGCTTCCAGTCGGCCCGCAGCAAGCCATGCTGCGGGCCGACTGGAAGCCGATCGGCCTTTGGTGGGCCGAATAGGTGCATGTGGCCATTTTTCTTTTTCTGTATTTGGTTTTAGTTGTTCTTTTCTGTTATTTTTTTACTATGATTGTTCTTTTCTATTTATTCTAGCTATCAAATGAATCTGGTTTGTGTTGAAACTTTTTGCATAAATTACTAGCAATATTAACAAGCCACATATAAATTTTCATAATTTTTGGAAAACCACACATTTACATTTGTATTTGATAGCTCCTGGTGAATATAGATAGGGTTTAAATTTATTTATCAAAATTGATTTTTTTATTTTTATAAATGTTAAAATATTGAGGAGAATGGTTTAAACATTTTTATAAAATAATTTGAGGAAATCTTTTTGGCTTATGAAACAATATGAAACAATTTGAGGAAAAAATATCAAATTGTTTCATAAGCCAAAAAAGTATTCTCAAATTGTTTCATAAGACAAAAAAGAATTTTCGTCATATTGTTTCACAAAAAATGTTTCATATTGTTTCAAATTGTTTCATAAGCCAAAAAAGAATTTTCGTCATATTGTTTCACATAAAATGTTTCATATTGTTTCAAATTGTTTCATAAGCCAAAAAAGTATTCTCAAATTGTTTCACAAAAAAAATTAAATTATTCTCCTCGATATTTTGACATCTATAAAAATAAAAATAAAATCAGTTTAGATAGATAAATTTAAACCCTATCTATATTCACCAGGAGCTATTGTTTTGACGAGAGTTTGCCACGCGGCTGAAGAAGAGATGGCGTAACAGCGGTAAAGAAAGAGCATCATTATTGAGAAGGTAGTCAAGTTATGTCCCTGCTTGAGTGGTATGCTTGTGGACCTTTTGATTAATCATTTACCTTCACGTATGGTTAAACTTTACCGAGTTACATAATGACACATCATTAACTTGTTACACTGATACGAACCAAGAAATGGGTCAAACTTCAGTCATTATCATACATATTCTACTTAGAGTGCCATCACTCATAAGGTATAACAAAGTTTTTGTTTCTGATGTGTGCAGAATACGTCCAACTAATATAGAGACTTTCATTTCGGACGCGGATTTTTGGGACATGGTGCCGCGCGAGGATGAAATCTCGGCAGTCCATGCATGATGTGAGATTAACACTTAATATAGTGATTAAATGAATACCTGAACGCCATGGTAGGTTAATTCGGCAAATACGTGTATATTAGTTGGTGGCTGGGCATCTTAAACGAATTGGATAGTATGACCAAACCTTTATTCATTAACTTCTCTATGTTGCTGGGTTGGGGAAAGACAGTATCTTGATGAGACCATTTAAGATGGCTGGTGTGAAATGTCGGTGAGGTGGAGTTTGATTCACCAATAGCATGCATCTGCACCATTTAATCGGTGGAGTTTCGCCAGATAATGTTCTGTTCTCTGTTAGGCTAGTGAAGCAGTAAATAACAATAGTTTAAGTGCAAGTGTGGTGTATGAGCTGCTTAGATCACTGAAGTGAATACTAACGAGACACTATGTGTGTTGTATCAGAAGTAACCTTGTGTGAGATATCGCAAAGTCCTGTCTTGGAAACATCCCCTTGTGCCCCTCTCCATGAGGTGGCGACTCGGAAAACCTAGCGCGCCACTGGTCCCCTCGCCAGGAAGTTTTATCTTTTCATAATTACTAAAAAAATCCGATGATAATTTCTTCAGGAAGCTTTTTATATGAGGAAAACATGGCACTAGAAAATGTTTAATTAATTCATTAGTGCTGAAATTAATTAATAGATTACCTAATGTGAAACTAAGCCGGCAGCATTATAATAAACATATTATGAGGAACAGTAATCTGAATAGTACTGAACTGTTTTTAGTAACTTTAAGATGATAAGTTTAGTTGAGAAATAACTGATTTTTTGTTCGGTAATCTTCATAGTACAAATACCAAAACATTTATTATAATAAACAAATTATACCGCATAGTACATGGACAAATCATTCCGCACAACAGTACAATTTCAGGTTTAGTAATCTTCATAAACAAGTAAAGTGACAAAGTGGTAATGTGTTTTGTTGGCCAATGAGTACAAATTCTGGAGCTACAACGACTAGATGCCGAAAGTCAAGGATGTGTGAGGGTTGGCAGCTCGCTGGTTTAATGCGTGAGAGCCCATGCCTCGGTTCAATGCCCTCCCCTGCCTTGCATGCCATTTACTGTGTGTGTCAGGTGCAAAAGACACGGCAACACCGAATGTTTATATGACTGGTTAAAACGAAAGTGCTATTCTGAGCTCGAGCTCAGATGCACTGCATATCTCATTCGTTAGTTGGCTCCAAGATTCGCAACACCCCGTGTATTCTCCAGGTCCCACCTATCTACCGCACTTACAGCCACGGTCGCCGTCCCACGCTAACCGGCACAGGCGCGCGTGCAAGTTATGGGCCACGGCTCAGGCCTGGTCCCACTAACGGCAGCCATCCACCCCACCCACTCCATCTCTCATCGATCACCCATCCTCTTCCAGATCTTTCCTGCTCGTCTCCTCTCCAACAACGTCGCAAGAAACTAGATCGGCGGCCATGACTTCCGCAGCTTCTTCCTTGCAGCCTGGGAAGATACTCCCGCTCATCTGTGCTCCGCTCATAAATTTACCCTGTTTTGCCCCACGTCCGCAGGCTGGACTTTGTTCATTCATGAGATCCAGCGACACGTACCTGCCGGAACTGATTCGCCATGGCCTCTCCCACCCGTACGGATTGCAGCAGCCTCTAATCGTGCATTCAGCTTCGTCCCTCCACCAGAGATCTCGCCAGGCAGCAGAGCAGTTAGACTTAGACACCCTTTAGCTAATTAGCGTGAGCTGACAGTGTTGTCCCAAATGTATTACGGACCAATGTAATTTGCTTTCACATTTAGAAGTACGCCTTAGCCTTTGTCATCAGTCCTGGTGGTGCTTTTGTTTGTGTCTACTCTTCTGTAATCATGGGTTCTAGTAATAAAATACGACTGCCGCGTCACATGAGTAGTTTGCATTATCATGTACTCCCTCTGTCTAAAAATAAGTGTCTCTGACTTTGTACCAAAGTTAGTAAGTCGAGCCACTTATTTTGGGAGGGGCGAGTAATTAGCATCACGGTAGTACTAAGCTCAATTCACTTTGCCTGACGGCTTTGGATGTACCCATCTCTTTTAAGGTGTACCTCTGTTAAGCATGCCTTAGAAGTTATCCAGTCTTTTGACGAATTCAAGCGATGGCTTGTCACAAGCATAGGGGTTGGTGGAATTCAGGATGTAATTAAGTGGACATGTTGCTGGACAGTATGAGACTAGCCTGCACCACCCACAAGCTCTGATGTGAGATTATGACAAATTCCATCTAATATATAACTGGCTACCGTGGAATATGCTATGTATTTAAGCTGCATACTCAGGCAATCAACCTCAAATAGCAGCAGAATCATATGGGTGCTGAGTAAAGGTTGCACTGCTCAGGATTTAACATTACAGCAGATATATACGGCAAATAGTACTATTCATAATTAAACACATGAGTAACACAAATCATTGCTCGACAGTTGAAAGTTGAGAAGCAGAGTGCAAGGTGCGCGAGTTTCGGGACAAAGATTAGTTCGACCTCATGCAGGAGGGAAATGATCGACATGTCCCAGCAAACATTGATAAAACAGAACAAAATGATGAGCTTCACAGTGACATTTCTCCAACAACAGCTTCACAACTTGTTTGAATCATCATCTCCGCCGGAATAATCACGACAAGACTCTTCGGGCTTTCTTAACAACCTTCAAGACTTTCTTAACAACTAGACTGAAATTAAATAAAAACATCTCAGTAAAAATAGAAAATTTGATTAAAACTAACAAGAAATGGGTAACATAATTAGAAAGTAAATATCATAGCTTTCCAAAACTATAATAGGAGCATGCTAGAGTGTACAACAAGCCAGCAATAATGTACACTATCATGGTTCATATCTCCAAACCCACTGCAAATAGAACATAAACTACAGTGTCAACTATCAAACAAAATTGATTTATTCTAACATGCCATATGCCACTTCTAGCCTCATTCAACTATAGGTTCCAGAATGCATCAAATAAAATCAAAAGATTCAGATGAGAACTCCCTACGAAAGGTGTTTAGCTGGTGGTGCTATCTCTGCTATACAGAGCTGTATTTTGACAAACTATTGCAAGCATCTTATTTGGTGTCATCCTGATACATGAACAATGTGAGAAAATGCAGACAAATTTGTACTTATATATGGTGTGAATGCTATAGTAAACAGATATAAAACACTGTAGCATGGCATGGCGTATTTGCGAAACAGAACAATATGTGTGCCTATAGTAAATTTGCTAAAGAAAGAGAGCACTGGAGAAATCTAATTGCC